AGCACTTCCTTTTAGACTTTTTAGACATGATCTTTGTATCCTGGAAGAGGAGAGCCCATTCTCATTTTCACTGTTCCCCAGATGACTCTTGAGGCTTGCAGCTCTTTGAATTTGCAGAGCCAGACGTGGGAGCCAACTGGGCATCCTTTGGATACCCCAAATCCTTTTGACTTCCAGTGGAGTAACAGGATACAGGAAGTAGGTCTTCAAAAATTGCTGTTTACATGATCCTTATATATTCAGATCTTTTTGGCTCTAATATTATTTAATTCTTTTCTAAATTGTTCTGAAGAGATAAAATGATTGATTTGACTAAGGTGCCAAGTACACTAATGTTTCTTATCACAGTCTGTACTGGTTGTTACAGGTAACCCTGAAGGACAGTGTCATCCTTTGGGATTTCATTAACTAAAGAAAATAGTTTTCATCTGACTTTGAGATGATGAATTTTTTCTAAGCTGTTCTCAGCCCGTTTCACTTGTCGTTTTGTTTGCATTAACTTCTCTACATCACTACATTCAAAGTGGAAATAGGAAAGCTGAGAATGGGAAATGTGTATTTGTTTTTTTAAGTATCTCACTGTGAAAATAGTGAGAAAATGGTTTCATTGTTAATGTTTAAAGAGTATATTTGAGCAATGTTTGCCATGCAAAATTGTTTTGTATTTTGGAAGTGCTAGAATGTAATGGCAAGCTGAACTGAAGCACTGCCGTGTCAAATTCAGTACACTGTAAAAAGGCAAAAGCAGTGAAGCAGATGAGGAAATAGTTTTGCTAGCAAGAAATCTCAGTTTCACTCCTCTTACTTTGACAATTGGAAAGCAGAGACAGTGTTTGAGGAAAATTACAACATGGATTGTAAACAGCTTGCGAGCAGGTAGCATAAATTCATCTCCAAGTGAAGTATTGTAACCTCAGGGTGAAACAGAAGAGACATGGATAAGAAACTAGCCTGGATTTCCTTTCATTACTGCTAAAGTCATTCAATATTTCTGGCACTAGTGGGACTGTATACAATGGGAAAAGTACACAGAAAGGCCCCACTGCATAGGGTGTTCCTGCTCGAAAGGAGACACCATCTGTTAAATAACTGCAAGACTTCCAGGTACACCATGATCAAGGGGATCATTGTGTGCATGTATTTTAGGAAATCAGTGATCAGTGGGTGTGAGCCATTCACAGCAACCATTTTCTGCAGTATTTGCTTTAAAAATACAGTTGGTGTTGGAACTGGTTGGAAACTTTCCTAGGATTGGCAAAGAATAGGAAGCATAAGGTTCAACATCAGTAAGGAACAGCTCATGCAACCAACCCACGGCATTGATACTGGGGAAAATGGGAGGATGGTTCCAGCCAGGAAAGACTTTGATCTGTTCTCATTCTCTGAGCCAAAAGACAACTTTGTATCCACAGTCACCTAATTTCCTCCCCCCCCATTTCCATTTTGCTTATGCCAGTAATAACCTTTGCATTACTGTAAAACTTTTTTTAGAAGTTTGTAAATATGTAAAATGAAAAAAAAATGGAAAAAATGTGTACCAAAATGGTATAAAAATGTGTAAGATAAATGCTCTGTTTAATGAGAAGCTGTAATTAAATGCTGCTTTGAGAAAGTGTGCATGAGGATGTGTTAAATATTCTATGTGTCTAGAAGTTGTTAATGACAGCAAATTATCCATTTATGTTGGAAAACTTCATGCTAATATGAAATATGAAGGAAAAAACCCATAGTATTTCAAGCAAAAGTTGGGTATTAAGTTTCTTGGAAGACTTCATGTGCATAATCATTGTTAAATATGTTCATAATAAAGTTTTGTATCTTTATATTGTATCTTGGTTTTATTTTCCTTCTAGTGAATGACAATAATTTTTATAACTTACAGGTATTTTCAGTTTACGTATATTTTTTACACATATTTAAAGTTAGTTAATTGCATAAGGATGGGATCCAGGAGGCTGTGTCAGCACAGATTAACCAGGGAATTATGTTTTGGGTTGTTACTTTTGACTACCCTGCCTGGGCTTGAAGATGAAAGGACAGGTTGCTAGAAACACAGGTTTTCCCAAGAAATCCACTAGCCAGTTTACAAAGAGGAACTAGCTTTCTCGAATGGCTTAACTGTGGCTTTGCACCTCCTGCTGTGGTCACCCTGGCAGTAAAACTTCCCCTTTCAGCCAGAAGTGCATGCTTTGTGTTAGCTGCTGTCAGCTGCCTCTACCAGCAGGGCTGTACGTTCTCCTGCTGACCCTGCAATGAGGTGTCCTCTCTGCAGGCCCAGGAAGGGCTGCCCCACCTTCAACTCACTGACCAGCGAGGAAAAAACAAAACAAAACAAAACAAAAAAACAATAAAAACCCCAACGGTTTAGAGATGGTGAAGGTGCTGGTGTCATTCCTCTCCTTCTTATAGCTCTGTATCTTCCAAGGGTCTGCTCACAGCTGGCAGACTGAAGAAGTGCTCGGCATGTCACTCTTCGCTTGGGGTGATGCCATTCCTTGTGTAAACTCAAGGGGACTGAAATCTCATTGTGTGCGATGGAAAAAAAAAAATAGCGGTAAGCATCTCAGCACAAATGGATACTCAACTTAGGCATGCTTTGGTATCGGAGCTGGCGGTGCTCGTTTATCAGCAATGGTTAATTCCAAAGCCCTTGCCTTTAGGTTTCAGTTAAAGTAGTTAATGGTGGAAGACAGGGCATGCTCATTTGTGGCAGTTGCAGTAAATGATGTAACCTACCACCCCCCCCCTTCCTCTTCCTCCCTTCCAGATCAGGGCTGACATGCTAATAATTTCTACAGTCTAGTCATAGGAAAAGCCACAGTAGCAAGCCAGAGACAGGGAAGAGAGACTGACTTCATAGCTGCCTTCCTAACTACTCTAGCCCAGTTTGTGCTCATTTCTTTTTACAGCCCATTAATTACCTAGAGCAAGGACTCTGCAAGCTCATCACCCTAATGCTTTACTTCAGCATTGAGATGAGCTGGCCAGCAGTCTTTAAGAAAGTGGATTAAAACTAAGGTGTTTGAATATAATTCAAATTTTAAAAATCAGTAACTGTACAACATCAAGACTAATATGCAATGTCTACAGGATTTTACAGAAAAGCCCTCTCTTAACTTGGAGCAAGGAAGTGACCAACATACTGCCCCCCCAAAAAAACCACCAAACCCCGTTCTGTGGTCCTAAAACTATTGCACTGTGAGCACTGGTTACTGCACATGTGTAAAACAAGCTATAAAACTATCTGCTTTTCTGTAGCACAACTTCTGTTTCAATGCAACATGGGCTGTTTCCTCTCATACAGCTTTTACACTGACAAATGTCTCAAAATTTTTTTTCCCTGCAGTTCAGCACATGCGTGAAGCAACAAACAGCAAAAAAAAGGGGGAGGATTTGCTGTTATTAACATGAGTGAAGGACAAGGAAATTTTGAATGGCTTGACCAAGTCGCTAAGTGTTTCTAGAAGTCAATGCTGACTCAAAGTGCATGGAACTATGACAACTGTAAACAACTAGTGAGCAGGTACTACACTACCAATGTTTTTCTGTCATGGATGTCCAACCATCCAGATTAAAAATTTCCTTAGCAATGCAGAGATCAAAGATTTATTCCCTTTATGGTAAGTTTCTGTCTCCCCCTCATGACTAGTTGAGGCACTTCATCTATCTGCTTTTAATATTTTCTTTTACAGGTGGTGTACCCTTTCCGACACTGAATACTCAGCATTCTGTTTCTAGTCAAACCCCTGCTAAAGCTCTCTCTGCCACAGAAATACAAGGTATATACACCTCGGTATAAGGTCTAGACACTCAGTGTAGCCCTGCAGCACTCACTAGAGCATACACTACAATAAAGAAGTGGCTCAGCATGAAGGAGATGTGTTTACAGAGACGGTTTGAAACCGGTACCCTAGCAGAACTAGATAAGCCTTACAGCTGGATTCGAAGTCTCAAAGGTACCAAGCTCAAACCCGCTGATAATTTTTTGCCTGACTGCCAGCAGAAATGGAGAAAGCGGCAGAGGGCTGAAGCCTTGCCTGGCACAGGATTTTCTACAGTCTGGATAGGCTGAGCAGACGTCTCACAGCGAGCCTCCCTGTGCACCTAGCACTGCAAAAAACAAATCCTCTACTGTCATTTGATTTTTCAGTATTACCTCTTTCCAGATCATGGAAATGTACCGTTGCATCGGCAGTCACCTTTATTCTAAATAGCTTTAGTTGAGAACCAGATTCTCAAATAGTTGATAGGGCTTCCTAAATCTAAGCAATATCGGGTCACTCAGACTGATTCTAGCTCAAGAATACTCCCCCATACTTGTTTTGTAATTCTTTCAACTTCACTAGCAGTGAGCTACTACTAACAGAAGCAGCATAGCAGGTCACAGAGGTAATCTGAAATTCATAGCATGCTCCCATTTCTTTAATTAGCTGACAACGAAAACTTTATGGAGTCTATGCTGAGAACTTGTTTCACTTGTTATTCCGCTGCTGCAACTTTACCCTAGGAGGCAGGAGACTTGCAAGTGACTCATGTCGCCTTGAGGCATTTTTCCCCCCTTTCAGAAAGGATCATGTTTCACCAACTATGAGAATTCATGGCACTCACCATCAGAAAATCCATGTTAGAAGGCAGCAGGTAAGTTCAAGGCCTACTCAACGCATATGATTGCCTGCAGTAGTGAACGGTTACCCCTGCACAGCTTGCAGAGCACTTCTAGAATGTGAAAAACTTACCTTTGTTCAATGAAGCGTTCTTTCTGTTACCATTCCATGTCCTGAGTGTCATACAGTGAGATTAAACATGTCCCAAAAATGCAGCCAGCCTGCTTTCTAATAAACATCATCTCATTTTCTTGCAATTTTGTAGTGACTTTGGCAATATTATGGAAGTACTTTGCATTCTGGTATGTATCTCGGCTACCTTGAAGGAAACTAAAATAACAGGATTTTTTTTTTTAATAACAAAGAGTTAAGTTTCAATGAGTCACACACCAGTCGTTATGAATTTCAATAATTTAATGCTAACCAAAAGTACAAAGTGTGAAAGTCGGTGCTCACCAATATTTGTCTTAAAGAAATGTAGAGGAAGTGTTTACACTGCAGCAGATTTCAGTATTAGCACCTTGAAGAGAAGTTCTTGAAGTATTAAGACAGTATGGCAACACTGATACTAAGTACAAACATAAACCATGTAACAGCATGTTTTCACATTTCTACATCTGAAAAAAGTTACTTAAAAAGTACATTAAAAACAGAAGTCGTTCAGTGTATTCACAGTTTAGGCAGAGATGGAATCAAGTGCTGGAGTAGAAAAAGAGAAGGACAAACAATTCCAAGGCAATTATATTGCAAGTCCAAAGGCACTGACAATACAGTACATGGTCTTGTTCTCCCATCTCACAGTGCAGGCTCCTACAAAGACAAAAAAGGGTTTCAGAGACAGAAGAAAGTTACAGGGATTAAATGCATGCCCCTATGTGCATGTTTGCAATTGTTTACATTAAGAATCTTAAGAATGAAGCTTTCACAACAGCTACGCATTTCATATATATGTGAATTACCATCACAGCAAAAGTTAAAAATTGCCAAACTGTATGCTGTTACTCCAAAACTGTAGCACTTGGAAAAAAAAAAAGCAAAGTATGCTGCTTAGTCTTAAGGGCCTTGCATTACAGCTACGAGCTGAAAAATCCAACAGTTGGGTTCCTTACCATCACTGGAGTTGTCCCAGAAGCAAGAGCTTGCTGAGTGTAGTCCAGCACCATTTTTTTGCATAATCACACAGGTCACTGTCAGTAAAGAAACTTTCATTAATTTATCACTACCATTAATTAACATTTAGCTACATTTTTGCTTAGCATAGTACATACATATACACATAGGCACATATACACGCTAAGATCTTCCTTCACTCCCCACCCACCAGCACACTTGACAGCCCCAGCTTTAACACAGAGGAGAAGGTTGCGCTCACCAATGTACTTGAAAGGCTTCCCCAGCTTTGTGAGTTGGCTCAGTGTTTGCTCCACCACACTTGTTGTCCACTGGTTCACTCTGCTGTGCTGGTAGGCATTGCCACCTATGGCGCTTTCTATGGCCTATTGGCAACAAATGCAAAGAGCTGCACTGGTGTCAATCTACAAGGCACCCATTAACCCATTCCAACATGGAGCACTAAAGAAGAGGGCCCACACCCACAGAGAAATCCTAAACACTACTTGTCCATACTGACTGTTGGAAGTATTTTCAATTATTAAAAACCTCGCAGTTCAGAGTTCGAGCCAGGCACAGGGAGTGCCTATCTATATCATAGATTCCATCCTCTCCATTTTGTGGTATTTTGATTCTTTATTTGTAATTTCTATCCTTATGTCCTGAAGCCAAAGTTAGGAAAAAGGTCTTGCATTTAAAAGGTCATGAAGAGAGTGAAAAAATGTACATAACAATGGCACATTCACACATATTCTTCTATGGAAACTAACATTAATTGTTTTAGCAGAATCATTCTGTACAAAAACACAAGCCAGAAGACCCATGTAGTTCCTCATAGAGCAGAAGCCTTCAGCCCAATAATCCATTTTACTTATGAGGAAAGATTTCCCTTTAAGAGATTTTTTTAAAAGTACATTAAAGCTGCATAGTTTTCATTGTTACTTTTTTTTTGTCTCAGAAATTGTTTAAAAAAATAACCACAAAATTATTTCAGACTCAGAAGACACAGGAGAATGTATGAAAGCACGCACATTCCATTTACTGAGTCTGATCAAAACAACTGTCTTGCAAACAGAAAAAGTTGAGCCACTCCACTCTACAAGAGGAATTCTGAACAACAAAAAAAAAAATCCCTCTGGAAATTTTCTAGATGGGAAATTAACGTTTCTCAGCAACAAGAATAGTTCAATCATTTCAAACAAACAACTCATTTTGGAGGAAAAGCTACTCAAAAGAATGCAGTAACATGCATATGCAGATAGCCTATCTAAAAAACCCTATGTGTTACTGAAACATAAAATCAATCTCTATAGAATTTAACACACAACATCCCCCTAGAAACTCTAATGAGGTATACTGGGACCAGAGACGAGTATGAAATTAATTATCTTTTGGATTTGTAATACATTTTACAACTAAGGCTAGGTTTCATTACCACTTGAAGTATGCACATTGGTTAAATCAACAGTTATCTGTACTTTGACAGCAACCTATCTAGAAATCTATTACTTATCAGTCATCAGATTTTCTTTAATGCCTTTTAGCACACAGCATACAATATACCATACTCTCACACCAAGAAAATGAAAATGTTAGTTTACCTCTTTAATGATGATGCTGACTTCATCAACAACAAAGGAAGTCTATAAAAAAGTAGAATTTTAAATAATCAGTGGACACATTCTTCTGTTTACAGAGTTCAAGCTTTGTTAAGAACATGAACACTGAACACTATCAAGGTAACATTCTTAGCAAAGTATGGCAAAGTAAGGGATGAGCTGATATTGGCTGGCCTTTTGGGTCAAAGTTTTCAAATTGTAACTTGAAACTATTTAAAAATAATATCTATAGCACTTCTGTATGTAGATATTTTCATTTTACAACAAGCATTAATGTCCACGATTCACAGTAGGGTTGCAGAGATTATCTCAGTGTGCAGACACAGCTTACAGTTAAACAAAACCCACCTCTCCTGGGCACGGATGCAGACAAAACATCCATTCACAGTTCAAGGAAAAGCTGTCATCACAATTTCAGCTGGGCATAAGAAAACTGCCCTTGGAAACCGAAGGGGAAATCTAGCTTACTGGACTTCCCATCACCTTCAGCTTTCTCTTGGGCTCTGCTGAGTTTAGATTAGGCATGTGGAGTGGGGACAGAGCCAGGGGAATGCTAACAGGGCAGCAGCAAGCCAGGCACCAGCCGGCATTTTTACTACAGGCACCTCACAGCCTCGCCTCACACACCAGAAGAAAGGAATCAGACAAAAGAAAGGCACTTAACAGCAAACCAATTAATTTCAGAAGATGGAATAAGGATTTCAAGATCAACCTAATCAAGCATATGTTGACTCACTTTTCCCTAGGAGGTCTGTCAGCTTCTCCAGCTGGCAACTAACAGCATACTTTGGGTGAGCAGGAACACCACTGCTACACCTGCTCTGGAAAATTTCAGTATTACACTTATGAACCTGCAGTCAGGTGAACAGTCTGGTCAGCTTCAATGACATGCAACATTCTGAAAGATGCGAGCAGCTGAGAGTTCTCCCAGGTAAAAGAAAGAGCACACCCCAGGAGACGTGAAGGCAATGTCTTTTTTGTAACAATCCAGAAGTACCAAGTTGCTGGCACATTTCAGTATTTTTAAAAGCTTTTATGTGTTGTGGCAAGCTGGCTTTTATTTTCAGCTTCTTGACTTTGATTTAATTTTAATATGCTTTATTTGTTTTCATGGTACTGAATTTTACAACTGCTTATGTTAAAGGTGCACCACTGTATTTAACCAAGTAAGAGCTAAAATCATCAAAACATCCTTTCCCACAGAGTGTAAGTTAAGAATACACATGCCAGACACACTGGCAGACATGAAGACATGTCAGGCAAGACTATAAACTATATACAATTTTTTCTTCACAAAGTCTAGAACTCTGCTCAGAAATGCCTTTAAGTGAGCATAAACACAGCTCACCAAAGTAAACTGAATTCAATTCAACCCAAGTTCTCAAAGGTACTTAGACACATGGGAAAGAGCCATAGATAGATTTGAGAATCTGGTTCTAAGGTTGCTGTTACTTCTCAACCCTTTCCTTTTTTTGAGATGAGAGTGTATATGGGTTTAGATGCATGACAAAACAGAACATAAAGACTCAGAGTCCAGATTTGTGTGTTGCAATTGAGTTGCCAAATAACACAACACTATTCCATCCTTTTATAGGATAATGCAAACATTTCTTATATTTAAAAAGAACAAAAAAATCAGCAGCTTTGTGATTTCCCTGCAGCATCCCTCTGGCACAAGGAAAGCAGACCTGATGTTTTCAATACCTTGTTTAAAAGAAGTGTTCCCAGGCAACAAATGCAAACTGCAAAGCAGTATTATTTTTGAGTAATTCTGCAGACATTTTTGAAAACAGCTATAAGAATGACGTTTGTAAGTTAATTATCATTTAAAAAAAATACCTGTAACTGCATAACACAGGCCAGGCCCAGCAACCAGGGCAAGGCTTTCAGAACAAGCCTGTCACACCTTCGCCCCTCACAGGGCTTTGCTATTGTCTAACCAAGTCACAGCGCAGCTGTTTAACAAAGCAGCAAATTGTCATAGCTCAGAAAAAAAACCTGTCCCTCTGCAAGGGCAACACTTGGTGGGTAGCCATGTAGCATGATAACGAAAAAAAATAAATTATTTATCAAACTTCGTATCGTTGTTAATGTGCTTATAATGGGACAGCTGCCTCATCAGCGCGCCTGTAACACGCAGACTACCTGCTTCAAGTCTCCTTTCCACACAAAAAATAGCTTATTCGCGTCTTCCACTCATCTAAACCGTACGGGCAAACCTTCTATCACAGCACAGTACTTCGTGCTGGTGGTAAAGCCAGAAACCATGAGACCCCTTGGATGTTTTCTCCGGACGGCTCCGGCCCGCCCGGGGTGGAGGGCGGGTGGCAGCAGCTCCGCAGGGCTGGGCGGCAAGAACAAAAGCCAGGCCTGCCTCCAGCTGTTGGTACTGCCCAAGCCTCCCACCGGCCCGCAGCCTTCCAAAACGAGAAGCCAGGGGCTGCCCCAAAGCCGTCCTCCGCCCGCCCCCCGCCCTGCTCCGTTACCTCCTCCCCCGACTGGAACTCGTCCATCTTCCCGGTATAGCCCCTCACACCGCAACCAACACAGACCCACGCGCCAGCCACCTTCTGCAGTGCGCCTGCGCACTCCTGCACCGCCGCGCCCTCCGCGCCTGTCTCTTTGCGCCTGCGCACTGCGCTCTCCGCGTCTCGGGCGCGTAGCAACGGGGAGCGCCGCTATGGGGCGCGGCCTGCCCAGCGCCCTCCAAGATGGCGCCGTTTCCATAGCGACCGCGAGGAGGCGACCGGCCGGTTCCAGGCGTCCGGTGATGGTGACCGCTGTCGGGTTGTCAGACTCCCCAGAAGCCTGGGGCTGAGAAAGAGAAGAGTGCCCGTCGCTGTTGTGGTGTTCACGTAGAGAGCTTGCCGTCTGTGTTTGGTGGACGCGTCCGCAGAGAGGTGGATCCTGGAGGTCCTTCCCTCGGAAGGAGGATCTGCATCTTGTTTCTGGAGACAGCTTGAAATGAAGGCCTGTGTCATGTGTGCGCAGGAACTGACAAAAAAACATGGGAAGACATGAAGAATATGTGTATTCTTACAGTTCTAAGCAGATGCTGTTATTTTTAGCAGCCAGAATAAAAATCTGGACAATAAAATTAAGGGGCATGCTTTTCACAGTTCACGGCATGTTGTTTGTGTGTGCAGTGTTTACAGATTGCCCAAATTACTGGCAGTACCAGCCTCTGAGAGATTATGTAAACAGTGGAAGACGGTGTTTGGGTTTTGAGTGTCTTGCATGAACTGGAATAATAATCTGAACAAAGGAGAAAATGTGAGAAATTGTGTGTGGAAAGTAATTTGTTAAAGCATTAGGGTATAGAAACATGGCTAAGGTCTTGCAATCAGTTTTATAAGATGTGGTGCTTTGGAACATAACAGGATGAGAATCTTACCAAAAAAAAATCAGTAAAACCCTAATTGATAATGGGGTACAGTGGAAAGCAAAAGAATTCACATTGTATATAGAAAAGAAAAAAAAAAGGGGGGGAAATTCAGATGGAGTTGGTAACTTCTAGAGTATTTGTGAAGGTTGTAAATCCATCAAGGCCTGGGAGATTTCTACATTCACAGACAGAGGTAAATCTTAAAAACAGAGAGGAGGGTGCCTCAAAGCTAAGATAAGCAGAACATCCTTGAAGACAAGGAACTAATGAGCTAACACAGCTGCAAGAAACCGACTTAAATCCTGACTAGTTACACAGAGACAATAAAGCTGAAAAGTTTACAGTGGTGAAGACTTCATCTTCACGACCCTCAACAACCGCCCCAGAATTTTAGTGCGCATGTGACAATGGGCGGAAACTTATGTTAAAGATTTCCCTGGAAAACTGTTGAATATGTAAATAACTTTGTAAAAATGTGTGGCTATGATAATGAATGTTACTATAAATAAACCTCAACCTATTAGAGGGTGTGCTTTCCAGGCATCCCACTTCCTGAATGCACCCAGCATGGTGCTAATAAACCTTTGCTTCACAGAATTTATCTGTCTCTAAATTTGCATTTTGTGAGCACGTTTCTCACAATAACTCTGGGGGCAAATGCAAAGGCCTATGCTGAGGCAGGAATGACCAGCTCTGTAAATGCAGACAGGGCAGGACCAGCTTGCTTGGTAGCAACAGAATAGGGAAGTGTATTTGGTATGATTTACTGCAGTCTGTCATGCAATGCTGGTGCTAAAAAAAGGAGGTACCACACTGGGAGATGTAAATAGCTATACAGCTCACAGGACATGGGGAGCTGCATTTCTATTGTACTTTGCCCTGATTGGCCTCAGCTGTGGCCTCCAACCCTGTGCCCTCTGCTCCAGACCTGTCTCTTCAGTGGACCTTTGCCCTATCTTCTGGCCTTGTCTCCAGTCTTATTTCAGGCCCAGCCTCCTCTTTCTCCTGAAGAAGAATACTCTGACCAGTCACCTCACTTTGGAACTGCTGGGGGGCCCTGTGGGCAACACAGGCTCCGGCTGCCCTGCTGGGATATGGCAGGACTGCAGCTGGCTGCTGAACTCACCCTCAGCCCCTCTCCTCTGAGCCCTGTGCTCCCTGCACTGCTCCCTCCAGGCAGAAGGCAGAGACCAAAAAAGTGAGGCCTATGGGAAGGCTGAAGGGTGCTTTTTAGACAACAGAATAAAAGGCTGTAGCTTGGTTATATTCTTAACATGTATAAAGTGCTGCAGCAGTTTTCCATGCCCAGAGGTGGGAGGGGAAAAATAGAATGAGATAAAAGTGTTACAATTAAAGCTTTGGTTAAATATTAGGGGAAAAGCTGTCAGTAAGGCTAATTCTCTTTGGCCTGGCTTTGTGATACTGCAGATCTGCCGCCATGGGTAGTTACAATCCTTGGGTTGTTTCTGGTCTTTTATTTAGGTAAAGTTTTGCCTGAAATGAAGGCCAAAGTCATCCAAATATTCTTTGTTAGGCTTAGCTCTGTGCCCCACTAAGAGCTGTTTTCTCTTCAGTGATACACGTAAAGGTGATTAAGCTTGATGTACATAGGTAAAAGTATTTGAACCTATTTAACTTAATGAGGTTATAAAATCACAGGCTGGCTAATTTTGCTCTGTGAATAGAATTGCAGTGCTTTGTTTAATTTTAGATAAAAATATTTATTAGAACACCAAGAAGGGCTTCTCTGTTGTATGTAGTTTATCTTGAATAAGAAAGGAGACTGACCTGCAAGAATGGCCTCTCTTCTTTTCCAGACTTTGAAATAATTTGGATGTAATTTTTGTACTTCATTACTCATACTTGCTTCTGCAATAGACTGAATTGGGATATTCAAATAATATTTTAACTTTTAATTCTTGTCTGAGATCAGATTTCCAGTTGTGAGGTAAAATAATTTTCTTCTTTTTTGCAGATGCGTAAAAAACGAATTTTTAAAAAACTTTATCTAAACTGATTGCTTTGCCATTCAGACCTGAATAGAAGCCAGGAAATACAAGTGGAGTTTTCTGTGCAAGTCCTGGGTACATTGAGGTTAGTACTATTTTCACATCTATAGTATCAGAAAAAGAAATGATGTAGAACTCAAAGCCACTTTGCTTCCTGTGTGTGTGACTGAAGACTGAGCATATTTTGATGGTATCTGTCAGCCTTTATAGTTTCTTGTACTGAGTCTTTGTTTAATATTAGTAAAATGAGTAAGTTCTCTTTGACTGCTAGTTGCTGGTACTGGTAACAAAACCAGAGACTTGGCAAAAGCTGTTGTAATGCTAGAGCTCTTCTTAGAGTGCATTTGCTTTTAGCTGTTTTGGGGATGCTCCTCTGTACGTACGTCAGTCTAATTTCGGTTCCCCAAAGGAAGGAAAGGGGGTAGAGAACAGCCACCGGTTTTCTTTAAGGAAAGATAAATACATGGTAAGAGTGCTACTCATCTTTTAAAAGCAGTATACTTCCACGCATCTTTCTTCAATGGCTGCTGAAAAGGTACGGACATGCTTTTAATGTGTTCTGTATGATGTTACGCAGGAAGATGCATTTTTACTTAATGAAATAGTGTTTTTTAAACTGTAAAGAATTAGAACTTTTTAAAGTTTGTGGTTTTTTTGTTTTTTATTGTTTTTTACTTTAAGTGCTGGGGTGGGATATTATTAAAATCACAAGGCATAGATTTGGTAAAACATTATCAAAGAAGTTACAAATAATTTGCATACGTATATGCAAGGATGTGAAAATTAAACTGTTGCAGCCAGGCAGTATAAAATAGCACTTATCATTTTCTTAACTAAGAATAAGTTTCTGTGAATGACCTCTGCAGAACAGAAGGTAACCATGAATTCCAGGAGCTTTTGTGATCATTTTTATTCTGAACCTCCTTAATCTTTGTCCTAGCTACTGATGTATTACATCCATCTTCTGGATGCAAGTAATCCAGTTTCATTGGATGTAAGTAATGGGTGAAGTAATCCAATTATCTCAAGTCAATGAAGGCTGTGGCTTTAGAAAATCAGTTTATTTATACTTATTTAGTTGTCATTATTTTGCTAATGATTAAGGACCTGAAAGGAGATCAAATAATACATTACGTGCTAAACTGCTTTGAGACAAAGCAGCTTGCTAACTCTGGCATTTCCAAGTTAAAAAACTTAAAAAATAAGCTGCCTTTTGCAAAATTAATCTTGACCTAAGTGGGCCTTTAGATTGATCTTCAGTAGCATAACTATTTTAGCCTGATATAAAAGAAAAAAGTATGGTCTTCTGAGATTGCACTGTGTGCGAGCATGCCTCCCTCTCCTAAGATGTGACCACATTGGTCGTTCCGTCTCCTTTACGATGGCTTTGAGACTTCACGTGATATTTTCAAAAAGCTACTCATCCATCTGCAAGGTGCCTAACACCAGATTCTTGCAAATGCATAATTTAAAATAATGTATGAACAAAATATTTTGTGAACTTTGTGCTGAAAAGGGAGAAGTGTGATGGTATTTACTGAAGAGGTTGCTGTTGCTGTTGGTTTTACGTAGATGATGCCTGCCTTTGAGGTTAGCTGACTGTGTAAAACAGCTAGCTAGCTAGATTCGATGTGTCAACATGAAAGGAGGTCATCCGTGGTTTTTAAAATTGTTTTTCCTGTCAAGAGGAGCCATTACTGAAAACACTTCTTTATTACTGCCAAAAAGCTAATCTAATGCAGACAGTTTGGTGTTAGAAATGCTTTTCTTTTACAATGGTAGAGAGCTTCTCAGTCCGGTTTGAAGGCCTCTGTGAAATGATTATGAGTTCAAGTTTGTTGTGGGGCACATGGATAATCCCTCATCTCGGGGGTTATAGTGCTTTATTTATTCCTAAAGCTACCTCATCATTAAGCCAGATTTTGAGTTATCTTTGAATGTGCAAGAAATATTGACAGATCACAACCATCGTCTGAGCTTAAATCTTCATGAAGATTAAAAAAACCAACCAACCAACCAAAGGAATATCCAGGTGCAATACTGATGGAGCTGCTGGCTGCATGCTGGATTTTAAGCTTTATTCTATGCAGCATGTGATGATCTTGCCCAGAGGTGAGAGAGCCACAGAGGCTTTTTGTCTCTCTGCGTAGTGCAGATACTGCAGGACATAGGGCCCCTGACACTTTTCTGCAGTACATTTGTTCTGTCGTTCAGTGCCAGAAGGTGATGCTGGTCTTTCCATCCTAGTCCTTGTGGCAGTCTACTGCTGGCATTACATTCAGTGCTTGTGATTTATCACTGTGACAGGGATGTGAAGTGTGGCAATAGACCAACTGGTTTGGATGATGGTGTTGCAGTATTGCAGACGGGGTGAGGTTGAATGCCGTTCTGCCTAGGGCAGAACCTGCGTCTCCCAGGGTGTACAGCTGCAAGCAAGACACAGTGGAAACAAGGGGAGGAACCAAGCTATTAATTCTCTCACACTGTTTCAATTTGTGCAAGCTTCAATAGCTGAAACGATAGTAAAAAAATTAAAATTATATGCATCTCTGAATAAGATTCTGTATGTCCTCAGTATATTTCATATACTAAGATGTCATCTGAAATCCAGTTCCCAAAACAGGCTTGAAATATGGTAAACTTTGTGCTCTTCTGTGAAGAAGAGAGGTAGTCCTTTTTTGAAGAATTTGAAGGAGATCTCAAATCATGGCTATTTATGTGCTTTCTTAACTGCAGATGTTCTTATAACTGTTTTAAAATGGCATGTTCTTAATAGCTCTGTAAGACATTCATATATTTTCTTTAGGATCACTAGAGTGGTTTTATTGGATCCAGCTTATAACAACTATCATAAATTTGCTAACTTTTACTGATGCTTTAGCAGGATTTTCTGATAATGTTGTGGATATACCAGCCTATGAAAATCCTAGGAGTTTATAGACAGTGTAACTTACGCTGTAGTGGGTGTTTTGGTATCCCATATAGAGCAGAGGTCCTCGTGTTTGTACTGACTGCTCTTTCAGATTATATTGACTTAGATGGAGTTGAAGATTCTAAACATGCTCATCACTCCTTGGAGGTATTCTTGAGGTAAAAGATGAAAGCAAGCGAAGGTTGCAGGGGCCTTTGAAAATAGCATATATTGTGTTTAAAAATTGCTCAGGCTTTTTAGGTTTCAACTGAGTAATTTCCTGTGAAACTGCAGCTGGCAAGGAAATAAAATATGATTGTGCATATCTCTGTCTCTTTTGTTTCCACAGGAAACCAATCTTTTTTCTTATTATTATTTCTTTGTTAACACGGTTTCTGTGAAACGCTTTGTCCTTTTGGTGTCTGTTGAAGGGTTTAATGAAAAAAAATTACAGAAGAATGGAAGGCGTACTGCTTATAAATACAATTTATCACCTCCTGCTTTTTCTGTGGGAAATTGTGTAACTTAATTGGGGCAAGCACTATGTAAAGTAATTCCCTGCACTGACAAAAATATATCGTCACTATACATATATATATATGAACTTCTGGTGGGTTTGGGGGGTTTTTGTTTTTTCTTTTTTTAACTTAAAACTCACAATATTTTAAAATTATGATCCAGGAATGCAGATAGTTGGTCAGATCCTTAGCTGAGGTTCATCAGTTGAAGCATCAGTAGCTGCTCTGGGAAAGCTTTACCCTTCTGTCCTAGTGTCTACACCTTCTGCCCAGAGCATGACTGTTTGTGTTCAGTTCAGATTAGGTTTGAAACACTTAACTGGTTTTCATATACATATCTTTAATATTTGGTGTACCATAAGTGGAACTCTCTTACACTTCTTGTAATACACACTAGACATTAGTATTGAAACTGAATATGGTGTGTAAGCTGAATTAGGTTGAATAAACTTTTTCTTTCTCTATTTTGCTCCAAAGTATATGAAAATTATTTTCTATTTTAGTGGGAGTTTTTCAGAAGTTAGTATATCCAAAATACAGTTGTGATTCTCTTTTAATTTTATACTTGGGGCCAAAATTATTAGTGCACTGATACGGAAACAATACAAATCTTAATTCTTTAGTGTTTGTTTGTATTAACAAAGCTAATTGCATTGTTAGGTATTAAACTGTTTCTCTAGAATTAACAGATATAGCTAATTGATAGAAGTGACTTCTAGAGGGTGTCTTTCCCTCTTTCCTCTTAGGCTTGTGGCATTTTGTCTTTTCAGTAAAATGATATTAGAGAGGAGCATTTTAGTCTCAACCAGTATGACTTTTCCAGTCGTGGGGTTTGTAGGCTTGTGTTCAAAACTAACTTAAGCTTCTTTATTGGTTGTTTTCTGCTGACTGTAAAATAAAAAAAGTGAAGGTACATGGCTGAGTGTTAATGGACAATATGATGAGACTGTCTGAAGAACAGGCTTGTCCTAAAACCTCTTCTGTATCTAAATTAGTGTAGGAAAGGTCTGAGTATAGCAAAATGTGGTCTTCATGTCCCATTTCAAATGTCTTGAAAAGGTGAAGAGAAGAGATAATAGCATGTATTCTTTTTTTCCCTAGGCCCAGAAATCCCAAATCTACAAGACCAAATAAAAAAAAACCTCAAACCAACATTACCCCCAGTCCTTTACACCATCTCTTGGTGAATTTTCCCTTTACATGGTGAGACTCAAAGCCCTATCTGCAAGCTCTCATCTCTTTTGGAACCACTGTCAGCAAAAAAAAAAAAAAAAGAGGAAAAAGAAAAGAACAAGAAGATCTCTCATGTGAAAAGGACAGGACTGTTGTGAACTTGCCAACTGCTCATAATCCCTGGATAGCAGAGACACTTAAATGATGGCTTGTGTGAAGATAGACATGGTTATTTTTCTCTTCAAGGGTATGACACAGTGAAACGTATCACCAATCAAGTAAGAGCACAGGCACTTACTGAACACTCGGACCACATTACACTTTATGAAGTAGCACTCAGTGTTCTGGATGTAGTAGAACCATAGGACAGGAGCCTACAAAATAAAGGAAGTTTGCAAAAATGGCCTGTGAATTTAATCTAAACTTCCTTAAAGAACTGGAACGAGAGGCTGTTCTGGAAGTCCTGTACCGTGACCAGGTGGTGAGAAAAACAGAAGAGGAAAGAATAAGGTATCTGCTGTTCCCCTATTTTTGTGTTTATGTTCCTTTTTTCTCAAAAGTACTCCTTGCTGTCATTCCAAATGTATTCCTGTTTTAATTTTTTTTTTAATTTTTTTTTTTACTTCTTGTTAGCTAATGCCTTTTTAGTCTTTGGGAAAGCTAACGGTTTTCTGGAGCCTCTTGGATTTACTACTACTATTGAGTACTCTGCAGTAAAGATGAGCAAATACTGTTCAGTGGCTACTCGATTAATTTTACTTCTAACCTTCATAGAAAGTTCAGTTGCTGCCTGTATTTTTCCTATGGAGGCTTTATGCATTCTCACCACACTCCTATGTGTGCCTATATAGTCCTGGTAACACAGAACACGTTCAGATCTTTGGGTGGCTTATTTAACTTGAGTTGTGCCAAAATGGAGTTAAGAATCATTGGATACCTGCTCATTGTACTGAATCCATCACTGTCTCTTTTCACATACAACAAGCACACTGCACTGTCTTGATGGTGTCATTGGTTAGGAACAGGACTGTATTTAATCATTTTGCACTATGCAAGTATTCAGTTATGAAGGATAAGGGATAATCCTCCAGCATTTTATTTGCTTTATGTCAGAGCTAGAGCGGGGATTTCCTTGCAGTCTGTACCCCACTTTGTCACATTGCATCTCTGTGTAAAACAGAGTATTGGTGTTGATAAGTTAGTAAGTTTTAGTCTCTTAAATGTAGAAACTTAAAGTTTTTTTACAGCAAATATTTATGTAGGTATTATTAGACACATTCAATAATTGTGAAAAGTAAGTAAAGGGTTATAAAGAAAGCTTGAATTCATAAGAAAATCCCTGATAACTGTTGATGATGTAGCTAACAAAAATACAGATCTTGATTATTGGCATATGTAATATAATCAAAGTTTATGAAAGAGAGAGGTTTCGATATTTTGGTCCAATGTGTTTTTGAGTTAACTTTTAGGTGATGCATTTGTTATGATTAGTTTTACTTGATCGAAGATTTGATTCTTGGATAAATATGATAAAAAACATCATCAAAGGAAAGAGACAACCGTTTAGTCTCAGTTTTTGTGTGTCAATACATAATCACTTGGATGCACAATTTCGGTGCCCTGCCCTGAGTGTGCATGACTGACATGAGCAGAACCCCATTTGTACCAGAGTATTACTGCGCTTGTATGCACAGTTGCTGTTGCATATACAGTCACAGAGCAAAAATGCTGTGTATAGACACCTTCAAACAGTGCTCAGTTGAAGTCAGACTTAAGGGGATATCTCCCACTAGTAATGATATGACAACCAGGGTATTAGCTTGGGACTTATGTGAGAGTTTTGGTCTAGTTAATATGTTTTGGTTTTGTTTACTTGGGGGATTAGAAAACTGAAACTACAGCTGCAGCAGCTTCGGTGGAAAGGAGCAAGAAATGAGAGCCGTGAATACCAGGAGAGGTCTTGTGCTCGTTGTCAGAAATCACTTGGGCTGTTGATGAACAGAGGTGCAGTGTGCAATGGGTGCAGTCATCGGGTGTGCTCTGAATGCCGTGTCTGCCTGAATCCTTGCCTGTGGAAGTGCACCGTTTGTTACGCTCACGGGTAAGAAATTATACTGGTTTGGGTAAGTGCTGGTTTACACTGGTTATCCACTGGATGCACACTGGTTTTGTGTGTATCTGTTGGTTTAAACAATTAATGAAACAAAGCCTTTGGTGAAATGAAATGTTGGGTGAAGTCCTGGCTGCAGTGAAATTGATGGTAATTTTGCATTATACCTCATGTAGTCAGGACTTCCCTTCCTGCGGTTAGCGAAGTGGGTCCTCAGTGGAGCATAACAAAGATGATGTTTCTGAACTGTAGTTACAACGCCTTCCCTTGACTCAATACTGAACAAGTACTCAATACTGAACCAATACCAAGTTGCTGAAAGTGCTATGTTTAGGTGTAGTATAGCAAATTTCTTGACAATTTCCTAATCACGATTTTTTGCCTCATACTACAGGAGTGGGAAACCTGGGTTGAAGAAAAATTTGGTCATGTTTTAATTAAATATAAACCTCAAAAAGCATTAAAATAGTTATCAGGAATTGTTTGGGTGTGGTCAGAAATCTACATTTGTTTACTTTGAATTAGTTGCTTTTTCCTTTCCTGTAGCTAGTTGTTAAGCTGCCTTGTATAGTTGCCTTGGTTTTGTTTTCCAGGAAACAATCTTTCTTTTACTGTATTGGTACAATTTTTCGCAGAATCAGAGTATTAGGAGTTGGGAGGGACACTGAAAGATCATCCAGTCCAACCTCTCTGCCAGAGCAGGATCACCTAGGCCAGGTCACACAGAAACACGTCCAGGAGGGTTTTGAATGTCTCCAGTGAAGGAGACTCTACAACCTCTCCGGGCAGCCTGTTCCAGTGCTCCGTAACCCTTACAGTAAAAAAGTTTTTCCTCATGTTCAGATTGAACCTCCTATGCTCCAGCTTGCACCCATTGTCCCTTGTCCTGTCATTGGCTGTCACTGAGAAGAGCCTGGCTCCATCCTCGTGACACTCACCCTTTATATATTTAGAAACATGAATGAGGTCTCCCCTCAGTCTCCTCTTCTGCAAACTAAAGAGACCCAGCTCCCTCAGCCTTTCCGCATAAGGGAGATGCTCCACTCCCTTAATCATCTTTGTAGCCCTACGCTGGACTCTCTCCAGCAGTTCCCTGTCCTTCTTGAACTGAGGGGCCCAGAACTGAACACAATATTCCAAATGCAGTCTCACCAGGGCAGAGTAGAGGGGAAGGAGAACCTCTCTGACCTACTAACCACATCCCTTCTGATACACCCCAGGATGCCATTGGCCTTCTTGGCCGCAAGGGCACATTGCTGGCTCATGGTCATCCTGCTGTCCACCAACACCCCCAGGTCCTTTTCTGCCTGGCAGCTTTCTATTTTTGTGTCCAAATATTCTCTCAGAGTCCCTGCTATTCATCAGAATCTTTCTAAACCAAATTGCTTAGCTATATTTCCACCTTTGATGAAAAATATTGTGTAGACAAAGAAACATAGTTTTGAAAATGAATCAGCAGCTGTGCTGGATGATATGTATCCCTGTACAGAGAGTGAAGATTTGGATGAAATATTGCTTTTTGCCAAGAGAAGAATAACGCACCACTTCACTCTATCGTAGGATGCCAAAATGAGATATAGATAATGCCTGAGAAATGTAAGGCAAGTTATTGGTCTTAAGCTAAATGACTACTACTAGTTTGAAGTAAATTTCTATAGTTTGAGAGAGACTAAACTATCAGTAAAAAGATGTTTTCTCAGTTTATTTTGCAATGTATACATAAAATAGGCAGATTAGCTCCATCTATATTTGATACAAAGCAGTTACTAAATTTTGGTGCATGTATCTCACTATCTGTGCTTCATGATATAGGCACTAAAAGGGAAGGTTAAAAAGTTAACTTTCCATATCCTCCTCTAGGGCCCTCCCTCCACTTCCTCTTCTTTTAACTTGGTTTCCAGTTATTTGGTGGCCACAGTGGAAATCCCCTGTAGAGCGTAGCTAGTTGTTAAGCTGCATTGTATAATGCTAAACACACCTAATTATTTTGTATGTAATGGTAAAACCAGGAAAGCATTATTTCAATGAATTAAAACAGGTTTTTACTTTTCTTTGAGGAAATTACATTTTTTGTCTTGCTCATAAGGAGGAGTTCTTCAGCTGTCATTTAAATTCTCTTTAGTAAAGAGACAGCACATTTGATCTTTAGTCAAGATGCAAAGTCTATTAAAATCAGACTTCTACCGTTGCCTTCAGTGAGCTCTACATCAAGGCTGCAAATCTCAAGGGTAGAGAGTGCAGCAGTGTGATAAATGCTACTCAGCACCTTTTGTTTACCCTGGTGAGGGAAAAAAAGAGTAACTAAGAAATGTAAGAGCTGATTTTCATGTCCTGAGCAACTGTAATATTGAATCTTGGCTACCGCTAAAATATTTTTTCCTGATCAAGACATTAGCAGCAGCAGCACTACTGAGATTCTCTCCTAGGCACCAGGGTCATGTTTGTATGGAAGATGCTTAAAGGCCTCAGTGGAAGAGCAGAGATAGGTGAATGTTCATTGTTCACAAAATAAGAAATGTAAAAAGTCTTCTGAAGTGACAAAGTTTGTATCTTTCACCTGCAAGAGGCATCTCTTATGTGAATAGAGTTGGTAGAGTGTGTGTTTGTTTTGTTGTGGATTTTTTGGGTTTTTTTGTTTGTTTTGTTTTGGGTTTTTTTTTGTTATTTGTGTGTTGTTGTTTCTTTTTTTATTATTTTTTTAAAAAAAAGAAATCCTGTCTTCTAGGAGTCTAGAAAGACATTTGCTTTGAAGGAGTTAAGTCTATTTCACCTGACAAGGATAGTTTTTTATCAGCTTTGTTGTCACACCTCTGGTCATAGCTTAGCTTAATACACCCTTTAGCCTGAAAAAAAAAAACCACCAAAAAGTGTATTTCTAGATCTGTTTTCATCCTGGGACTGATCTCAGCTTCACATGAGCCTGTGTAGATCTGGAGATTGAACTCTGGGAAGATAAACATGGGTAGTGGGCTGGAGATGAGAATAATCTACCAATGCAGAGCCCTTGAAGATCTGGTGCAGCCCAGAGATTTCAGACATTTATTAGTTGTATCTCCATCCAAAGTAAATAAATATGCTGTCTCAAAGTTATTTTAACCTAATTTTCAAACTCATCTGTGTTCAGTTATACACAAGGATAGATGGTTAAGAATTAAAAGAAATAGTGCAATCCACACAGGTAGTGATTTTTTTTTTTATATTTTGCACTGCAACTTACAAAGGTATATTTTAAATGCCTAAAATGCCTTAAAATCAAGCCACAGATATAACAGAGTCCTATGTGTAGTTTGACTATTTTAACATAGAGTAAGGTGAGCTGTGAAATGGCAGATGCAGGGATTTTGTTGCCTGGCGTTTGGTGGATACTGTTATAGCTCTTGCATTTAGAGATTCTGGTTTCTAAAGGAGGCAAGCCCTGCATGAATTTACTGTCTATATGTTGTTGCCAATTTCAAGCAATTTTGGCAGAGGAAATGGTAATAAAGAGATTCATTTCATAGGAGGAAAATGAACTACTGGGTAGAGAAGAAAGTTTAGTGGTGCCTACACTGAGAAATTTCTTGCAGTGGGACTTCATTCTATAATAAGCATTAGAAAATCCACAAGGAATAGAAATATTGCACATGCCCTAAAAATTAGTAAGACACTCAGATGAGAATTTGGAACCTGAAAACTCCAGAGAATCCTTTCCTCAGTTACAGTTCTTTTTGTCTCTTTAATAATGGATGAGTTCAGATTGCAGACTTTGCCTAAGTTAGTTGAAGACAACAAAATGCAAGAGCCAAATCTGCTGAAAATCTGCTTTTGACAAAGCTAATTAATGAGATAATTTGGTATTTGTTAATACTTACTTTTCTGATCCTGTGGTCCTGGTGCCTGTGTATGATGTTGACATCATTGATGTCAGTCTCCACAAAATGGAGAGAGATGGGCCATGAAGCCATCACATCATCAGGGCTGTGGAGCTCAGTGCTCCCTGGTAACCATCCCAAATTCTGCCTGGGAGCATATCCCCTACCAGTGCCTTGCCCTTCTCAGCCTAGGCTGCAGCTGTAAGCAGTCAGTACACCAGCCAGCACAAGTGCCTTGCTGTATTGCAGGTTAGTTGTGTAGAATTGAGTGGACGCAGGACTCCTGGCTTCAAAGCAATTCCTACAGCAGTATCTCTTGCTTTCCATGGGCAGTCCTACATAGCAAAAAGGATAAAAAAAAATAATGGAAGGGAGGAATCCTTTGCTTGCAAACCTATAGCAAAATCAGTCAATGGAGTGAGCAGTCATGAAATCTTAGTTGTATAGTAGGATTAAGAGGAGTTGTTGGATTGATAAATAGTTATCAAATATTTGAAGACATGCACTTTGGAAAATGTTCATTTAAATGTATTTTCATTGTTTTTCAGAGATGTGAAAGTAAAGGCTGGTGAATGGTTCTTTGAGGAACGAGCAAAGAAATATCCAGGTGAAGGTAAGCACTGTAACAATTCATAAACAGCTCTGTAATGTGTAGTTCTTATCTAAGTGACACACAGAATGTAGTCTGTCACTGTATTTAGTGTTTCCTCCACTTGGTTAGAGCTTTGTCAGAAATTACCATGCAGTGCATCTGTCTATCCACTAAATAAAGCATGAACACAAACTAGCACAACACATTTATAGCAGCCTTCCAGTACCTGAAGGGGGCCTACAAGAAAGCTGGAGAGGGGCTCTTTAGGAAGGCATGTAGTGATAGAGCAGGTGGTAATGGCTTTAAACTGGAAGGGGATAGATTTAGATTAGACATTAGGAAGAAATTCGTGACCATGAGGGTGGTGAGACACTGGCACAGGTTGCCTAGAGAAGTTGTGGACCCCCCCTCCCTGGAACTGTTCAAGGCCAGGTTGGATGGCGCTTTAAGCAACCTGGTTTAGTAGGAGGTGTCTCCACTCATGGTAGGGGTTTGTACTGGATGATCTTTAAGGTTCCTTCCACCTCAAACCCTTCTATGATTCAATGATTCAGAAGTTTAATTTATTTTGCATGAGTAATAAGAATAAGAAAACTGCTGGTCTTATCAGTTCAAATTAATGAATGTGTAAGGCTTCTAAGAAATACAGTGACATGAAATAAATATAGAAACGTTAGAATATATGTGCAGGAAGGAAATGATCTTGCATTCATTATCTGTCAAAGTTAAAACTTCAGTTGTTTTCACTGTGAAAGTTCTAAAGCCTAAAGAAATGACAGAATGGAATAAAGAAAAACGTGTATACATGTTTTATACATGCTATAAATCAAGAGAGAAAGAAACTGCTTCTTCACTTCCAGCCAGCTGCACCATTGCCTTGGATTCAGTCTTTTCAGTGCAATTAAAAATAAAAAGCCCTAAAACAAATTCTAGAGAATGTGGATGAATTGACCTATGGGGAATGTGTTTCACCAGCCAAGGGTCTGTTAGTCTTCATTCTCACCTACAATGACTAATAATGTAGAGAGGATTTACTTCTTCTTTACCTTAAAGTGCCATTTCAGATAGGCAACTATTTCACTTTGTACCTGACTGTAGTTAAGTGTTACAGTTTCATTTCCAGTATTGCCATCCTATCTGGATTTAAGAATAGCTAGTAAAAAAGGAAAGTACTGAACTTATCTCTTGGATAGGAAGAAGTTTATAAATGGAAGAATGCAATCAAGTAAATTTTGGGTAGTAGGTATTCATGAAAGACAGCAGGTAACATATTCAGAAACTGAACTGCAGTTTCTGCTAAAACAAATAATTTAAAATATGTAAGATTTCACTGAAGTCCATTGTAGCTAACGTGATTTCTGATTTTAAAGTATTAGTTAATTGGTTTTTTAAAGCACAGTTGTATCCTGTAACCATTGTTAATTTTCCCTCATATTCTTTTAGGTAAGTCTAAGGCCAGTATTTTTAACAATCATTCTCAGTTATTGGAAAATGATATGGTGTTCTCAGACACTGAATCTGATATTGCAAGCTACTGACTGTCCCTCTTTCCAGTAAAATGAATGAGTTCTCACCTTGCCTTATCAAAGCTTTGTGAGTGCTTGAAGCATTTTGCTTAGTTAGTCTAACAGTAATATTGTTGAAGTCACAAAGATCTAAGGATATACAGAAGATAAGCCTGCAGGGGGAAATATGTTTTGTTTAGTTGTGCTATAACTAAAGGGGTTAAAAATGGCAAACTTTACAACAGCAGCAATAGTAATGTATCCTTCAGGCCTGGAGAGACAGTGCCCTCTGTTGGTTTGAAAATGTAACACAAGTATTCACTGTAAAATAAGTTTAACTGAAAAAATACACGTTACAATGAAGTTTTCTCATGTTTCAGCGTAAAAAAACAAACAAGCAAAAAACCCTAACCCCCCCCAAAAAAAAACCCAAAAAATGTCAGTATGCTTTTTATTACTTTTGTGTAGCTTCTGTCTAAAGAATAAAATCATATTTTCATAAAAGTAGTAGATTGCCTTACTAAGAAATTAAAAATCTAAGAAATAATTTAATGTTGCAATAAATTGATATACAAAATATTAGTTATTAAACTCTGTTATTAAACAGAGCATTAATTCTGAAGTTTTGATGAAAATTTGTAACATCAATAAATTGATTATTGTTTCTGCCATCACTAAGAAGTAATACATTATAATTAATGGTATCTTCAGCAAAGCATGGGTCACATGCTACTTTCTGTATTTGGAATGCTGAGTGATTAAAGCCACTCTAGATTTTTTCAGCTGCCCATTTGTTACATGCATTTAGCCTTTCTTTCTGTTTGCGGTCACTCGGGAGCAAAGTACATTTTTGTGAGGGTTCATTGTTTGTGCCTGGTGGAGCGCTTGCTCCTTGGTGTTCTTTACATCATGTGGCTGCTCACCTGAGGAACGTGACACGGTTGCTATTTCCCCACAGCGACAGCCTTAGTTCCTGTCTGTGAGCTAGTCCTGCATTTTCATGATTGTTCAGGTCTCTACTAGGAAAAGTGAAAAGAATTTTTCATAAGATGCAAGCGATTACCATGTGCTTACTCTTGTACACATTTTCAAGCTTTCCATAGTGTTTGAGATTTATGGTGCTTCAGTGCAGCGGGCCCATGCACCACATGCCTCCTGGACCTCAGGACGCTGAGGGCACTTAGCAGCCTGTAGGAATGGACCTGTTGGCATCTGTACATGATTGTCCCCAGTGTTTGAGAAGAGCTGATCTGAAAGTGTCACCTGCAAGAGGGAAGGTGAAATCGTGATAGAGTTTGTGATACAGGAGAGACTTGCATGTTGCTTGGCATGTATACTGATATGTCAGGTGGGGGTTGATTTCGCTTCTGGCTTGCACGTGCATGAGCTTCTGTAAATACAGGCCAGTTCCTGAAAAAGCACTGATTTTTAAAAAGTATTACACAGGTATTAGTAACTGCTGTTGGTGCTAAATGGCTTTTGAGTGTTGGGGTTTTTTTCCCTCCTTTACAGGCAGACATGAGACAGTTGGTGCAAAGCTCTTGGAATCTTATCAGAAACTGAGGTAAGGCTCATAAAAGGACAAATGGTCCTAGGACACTGAGAATTTGTATAGGTGATACATTGTATGTTATCAACTAGCCAGCAGTGTGTATTTGTTTATTATGAAGAACAAATTTCAATACTTTTGGAGTACATTAAAATAATTTACTAGGTATAATAACTATAACATCATTATTTGCTCAATGAGAGATAATGCTGATTTGATAGCTTTGGTATAAATAGTAGAAAATAAGCTATGTATTCAGTAAGACACGTCTGCTTACCAAGACTTACAACAAGTAAAAAATCCAGTTTACACTCAATAAATATCCATACTTAAGTTATTACCAATGATACATAATGAAATAACAGTCTACTTAAACTATATTGTATAAAAGAAAACTTTTCCTTTAACAGAAAAAAGGCAGAATAAGATACAAAGAGATGGCCTCAATTTTATGTTAATTATCTGGTGAGGCATACCTGCATAAGACAAAAAACTTATAGTCAGCTAGATATGACCCTAACCAGGGCTGTGTAAGGACTTGCTTTTACCTAGTTGTGGTAGAAGTGAAAGAGAATCATGGGGAAAAAAGTTCACCGGCTGCCTTTAGGGTCTGTGATTGTGCTGTGATAACAGACTCAGTCAGATAACAGTTAGATATTTTTTTTAATTATTCTTTTTTTTTCCATAGACCTGGGCTTTTTATAACAGATGAAATGTCTGGAATGCTGTAACGGGGATCTAACAGCTCTGGGCCCAGGCAAGGAAGGATCCTTTTAGTATTGTGAATAAAGATGACTATTTTCTGAAAACATCTCTGAAGCAGAGAGGGGATACGCTACACAGAAATTGTATTTTAACATTCAGGACATAGATTGTAATACTGCCAACCATACAGAAGTAGAGGAAGCTTGTACTAACTTATATCTTCCTGATAGTTTTAAATTAATAATTCTGCCTTGAGCAGCCCAGGGTTGAGAAGATAGAACGATAGTCCTAATTCTTACAAATAGGCAATAAGTCTGTGCTGCAACTCTTTAAGACACAGGATCTCCACCCAGATCTTTAGACTGCAGGAAAGACAGATAGTGAAGATACTGTGCACAAATATGGTTTATTTATTCATCTATTAGTATATTAATTGTTGTACTGTTTATTGTCTTTAAATTTCTAGTAAAATTTCTGTTGTGCCTCCAACTCCGCCTCCTTTCATGGAATCCACAGCAGGAAGTGACAAAACGGTAAATGTATATATCTGAAAAATATGCGTATACACGCACCTCTTAGTGTGTCATTCATGTGAATAGGTCAGCCACATAAATGCAGTAAATAGCAACTGCTGTAGCATATTTATAAATGCTGCCTTATTTAACTAAATAAATAAATAATTTGTCTGTCTTTTAAGCTACACTGGTAGTAGGAAAGAAAGATCAGAGTCTATCATGACGATGTTTTCTATTAGTTTTTGGTTTTGAGGGAAGTTATTTGCCCTCTTTACTTGTCACTAGAATACTGCACCTTGGTGCCTTACTACAGGAAGGCTGGACTGAGATTTCCTGAGCTCCTCTCCAGCCTGAAGGATCCTATGGTATTCAATAGTCATAAAGTGATCATTCCATGTGTTAAGTTCATTACTGAGTGAAAAACAGTGAATTTGATGGTTGCCCTTGCATTACAGTTTCTAGAGAGCAGAATAGTAGGACATGGTTCAGAACTCTTGGAAACAGCACTAAATTACTTTTTCAGCTCATTTTGGACTGGGTCCTGAGGCCCTGGTTTTGAAGCCCATCGTAATTCTGTAAACATTTTAATATGTGGTTACCTTGAGTTTGATGAATACTCTGATTCAGAGGCACAGGAGCATCTGTAATAGATAGGGCTTTCCTACTTGAAATTAATTAAATACATTACATCAAATCAGTGGTGTAATTAGTTGTATTTATGAAATGGCTATGTGATCTTCCTACAAGGAGTTCCACTTTATATATAAAGATTATTTTCAATCTTCAAACATTAGTGTGACAGTTTTCAGCCATGTCAATATATGAATTTGTCTGCAGAACTGAGTAAAGGGCTGCATCCTTACCCTGTGATTGTTATGTGATCATGAGAAATATTTTGTGTTTTCTTACTTGGCATCTCCCATTTGCAGGAACTTGGACAGTCTAAACGCTTTAATAAATCTGTGGAAAACTTGTTTTTGTCTCTCACAACACATATAAAAAGTAAGTAGCTTTCACTGCTTTGTCATTCTAGAGTAACGTAGTCAAATGTTTCCCGATTTTTGCCAGAGTATTGACCAAAAAATAGTTATAAACAAAGGGTATTGAGTAATAGCTGAAATGACTAATGCCAAGATGGAGCCAATCTGAAAAATAATACAGTAAGTCTAGTTCTTCTTCAGTATTCTGCTAGTTGTTTAACAAGCTGATGATACCAACCCAGAATGCCTTTCCTGTAAAGATGTGAAAAGACTGTAAAATGTTATTTTTAAGTTTACTGGGTGTTCTGATGCAGTATATTTAACTCATGTTAGCAGACCGTAATAACTGCTTTCTATCTGAATAAACCTCAGCTGACCCTGTTGAAGAATCCATCATGTAATGGAAGTGGAGTTTAATATTTTCATTCACTGGCAGTTTTCAAGAGGACTTCCTTCCTCTGTCTCAGTCTGTCTGGTTGTGTGGGCTTTTTCAGTGCATGCTTCTAAGAGCCAGCCAGTCCTAACAACTCTTCTTTCCTTCTGATACTTTTTGGTGCTTTCCATTCACTTATGCTGCCTTCTGACTACACTGAGGACAGCCAACCTTTGTGAAGATAAATTAAAGGCATCAGTGACCAGAGGAAAACAACTTCTGAGCTTTATGAAGATTATAAGGGCTTGCAGATTTGCATGTATTTGAACAAACTGTAGTTTTTCTTACTAGCTTCATCTTAGACAACCTGAAATGTGAGATTAGACCTGAATTAATCTGGCTTTAGTGCCTAACTCTTGCCTTAGCTCTTGTGTGGTCTTTCCTCTAACTTCTTCCACCTGTCCTAAAGGCCTGTGCTCCTTTAACTACACAAATTGAATGTTGTCTATGTGAACACACATTAAAGCTGTGCAGAGACACAATGGCTGTCTCTCCTGAACAGAAAAGTAGTGTGAGGTGGTGCAGGATACTTCATTACTGGAAACATAGAGCTGAGGCAGCACAGAATTGGATGCAAAGTAATTTCTTCTGCTTTCTGTTAGTTTGAAGCCTGGTCAGATCCCACAGTTACTGGTTAAGATTGTCAGGACTGCAGCAAGCTGATTTCATAGTTCACTGCCAAAAAAAGGAAGGTCCTACTTCCCCACGTCTGTCTTCCCCTTTATGTTTCTGGACTTATGCTACCATTGCTTAACTTGAATTAGCACCAGTGTTTCTGGACCTCTCTGAAAACTGATTTAGCTAACTAAAAGGGCAGAACATGAACCCAGACAAAACACAGAGGTGCTTTTCTGCTGGTTTATTGAGTTAAATAGGCTCAAGGTAGGGTATATATATTGGAGCCTGCACAACAGAGGGTACTGAGCCATGTGGCCAGGAAGCCAGGGATTGAGGGAAGAGCAGTGGTTGCAGAGGGGGCTGGCAACAAGTTGTCAGCTCAGTTCAGCTTGGATGTGAAACCCCACCCAGGTGCTATCATCCTCAGTTAGGGTAGAACCTTTCAATTTGTGAGAAAATAACAGGCTGTTGCAATCACTTAAGTCAATAATTTAAAAGTGTAGGAAGTCTTATAGAGAGACTTTGGCTTCTTGACTTAAGAAAACAGCTCTTTCAGTAAATATGGCCTCTTAATGAAAACTGGTACTGTGCTGATAAATGCTTTCAGTCATGGCTGTCTAAAGTTAGTACTCTGTATCTTATCTAGATAATAATGTCCTGGTTTGCAGAGGTATTTAATACACCCAGTTCTTGTGTATTACAGTAAATAAACATGGAGAACCTCATTACGCCTCTGATTCTATCACTGGTGCCAGTGTGTGTGCATGTCTGCGAGCAGTGGGAGCAAAGGATTAGCATGTGCAACACAATGCTGCCCCTGTACAGTCTGCTCTGTATGCTGTTGCCTCCTGTTCAAGCGTAGTTTGACAGCAACAGGAGATCATGATCCAGTGGTTGCCATTTGATGAATGTAAAATGAGTTGCTGGTTGAGGTTTAATCTGCAGCACAAAATTTCCCTTGGCACTTGAGACAGTCCCCATCTTCTGACAGTTTGGGTAGAGAAGCCAAAGGAGGAATAGATATGAAAACTGAGCAATCATTTTTTTCTCACACAAACTTGTTTTGTAACGGGTTCATTTTAAAGGAGTGTGTTTCTGCTTCTATTGCTGGTCAAGCTACTCAGATTGTAGCTACTCCATTAGATCTCTCACTTCAGTCTCTTTTATGATCTGATTTCACTGTGTATTTTAAAAACCTGGTTTCTTTTACTGTCAGAGATGACTTAATTGAGCCTGCCTATGGATATGTCACGTGATGCCTTAATGGTGTACACGGAGTACAGTAAACATCTGAGGACTGGTTGCTGCTAAGAACAAAACTAACCCAAAGTAGCTTTAAAAATCACACTTAAGAGTGCCATTGGTTTTGAATACCATAATGATACATTATCTTTTGGAGGTTCCTCCACAGAGGCTTATATTGTGAGAGAAATTATTTCTTCTGTATGAATTAAACATATGATAGCTATTTCATGTACCACTTATAAGTTATTAATTCTTAATGAGAGACTATCTGGGATTTACAATAAAGTGTCTGCTGCCAAGCCTACTAGATTTCAACTTCAGAAATCACAGATGAGTGCTGCCCTTTCCCTTAAGTGAAGTTCTGACTGTGTACCCTGAGGAATAGGAAGCAAGAAGTGGTGCACTGAATGTCCAATTGTCCTATAGATTTATTTGACGATAAACGAGATGTTACTGAAGTGCTAATTCAGTAAGGTACTTAAGTATGGACATTAGCTTATCCATATGAATAATGTTATTGAAGTCAATGAGGGCTACTCATGTGCTTAAAATTATGTGGTTTGGGAGTATGTAATCTCTCTCCTTTCATCCATATTTTGGATACATTTCTAAATATTTTCCAGTATGATCTGCCTTCTAATTTCCATTGTTGTGTTGCTTTACATCATTATAACGATCTTGCTTTTTTCCTGTACCAAACCAAACTGTTTTTCAAATCAAACTATATATAGAGACTGTAGTAGCTACTTCTGCAAAGAAACTGTATTTGATAACATACAACAATTCCTTGCAGCAACTATAATGCTAGGAAGCAAGGAGTATAATTTCCAGTTGAAACAGCAGGAAACTTTTAGGTAGAAACAATATAATTACACAAAATGGGACCAGTGCTTGCCTTTCCATCTTTTTCTTACTCTTAGGAGATCAATACTAAAATTGCAGGATAAAAGTTTGAAAGCTACAGGAGTAGCCTGTAAATCTACAGGATTTCTTGCAATGTTCATTATAGTGACTTCTTTCTTTATTTTCACTTCAGAAATCTCTAAGTCCCAGAATGATATGGCTGACAGACGTCTCTTAACCACAGATTATGGGCAGAACGTGGAAAGAAGGAAGCAAAGAAGAAGCCAGTCTGACACTGCCATCAACATTACAAGCAGGGTACCCATGTTATTATACACAGTCTCTAACATTAAGGGCTGTTTCAGAAATTAAATATATTTGTAAGAATAATGACTCACACAGTGGAATTTTACTTGTATTATATGAGCAGGACTTAGCTGATGTTCAGACCGTGACCAGCACTCTGATTCTTCACAAGGTTTTTGACTGAATCTGCAAACTTGATCTCAGCCTAGACCTGAAATGTTAGACTGTGATTTTACGAAGACCTATGGGTCTGGTATGACTCACATGGGGAGGCAGAGGATGGGTCGTTTTTCTCTCAGGTGCTCATAGACTCTCTTGAGGCTGATTGATGTCTGCTCTGTGTGATTGTTGGACTGCAGGGAGATGCTGTCTCTCATCTTCCTCTTGCTCCTCTTGGTGCTGAACAGAACCGGGCTGTGACCCTCCAAAACCTGTCCTGGCACTTTCTGAGCAGTTTTTAATTTGGCAAGGAGAAAACATTGACTGCTGTTAGTTCTTGGGCAACTTCCGTGTTCCTTTTGCTTTGGTTACAGTCTCTAGCTTTCAGTGTTTTATTGAGATGTTTGAGAAAAATCCAGTCATCTGTTTTTCCACAAATTTTGCAGGACTGAACATGATGTAATGTATCTGCTTTAAAGTTACACTGAAGATTTTGTTTTGTATACTTTCACCTCTCAAGTGACTGAACTTTGTCCATACTCAATTTTCCACATAGTGGGTACTTACTGAATCACCTTGTTCATCTAAATGAGGCAAATGAGTTAGAATGAGGTACCTGAATGAGATGCCTCAATTAAATGCTGAGAAAAGCTTTTGCTTGAGGCCAGACCTCATGGCAAATACTGCTTACAGCTCCCTTTGTTCACACTTTTCCCTTTCCTCTGGAGTGTTAGGTGTTGATAAATGGAAGAGACAGAATGTCAGACAGCATGGACTGGTGGTTTGAATTGGCCCAGCAAGGTCTGTGAACTCTATTAAATTAGTTCTGGTATTTTTGTATACACTTACATAATAACAAAAATTGTCAACAATTACTGACTACCTGAGTTCTGCTTTCAGTGTTACTTTATTCCACTGGAAGGGTACTACTCTTTTAATGCATTGAAAAACATCAGAGTTGGAGATCATACGAACTTAAATTATGTTTCATTGCATGCTGGTCACACACAGCCTGTCATGTTTAAGAGATGGATATGGATTCTTTAGCTTGAGAAATGTATTATAGGAGATTCCAAATTGTTTGTGTGGGTTTTTAATCGCTCATTTGAAAATTTAAGTTTTTAATTTATGTCCACCCTTTGCATTACAGATTTTGAAAGATAGGTTTCAATGTTGTTTGTGTGTCAGAACACTGTTTCTCTGAGTCAGGGACCTTTTACAGAATCACAGGTTGGAAGGGACCTCTGAAGATCATCCAGCCCAACCCCCCTGCTAGAGCAGGATCACCGAGAGAAGACCACACAGGAACATGTCCAGGCAGGTTTTGAATGTCTCCAGAGAAGGAGACTCCACAGCATCTCTGGGCAGCCTGTTCAGTGCTCTGTTACCTTCACAGTAAAAAAGCTTTTCCTTATGTTTGGGTTGAACCTCTTGTGTACTACTTTGTGACCATTGTCCCTTGTCCTGTCGCTGCACACAGCCGATAAGAGTCTGGTGCCTTCCTAACACCCATCTTGTAGACATTTATAAGCATTAATGAGATCCCCCATTGGTCTCCTCCAGGCTAAACAGACTCGGCTCTCTCAGCCTTTCCTCATATGGGAGATGCTCCAGTCCCCTCATCATCTTAGTGCCTCTATGCTGGACTCTCTTCAGTGGTTCCTTGTCCTTCTTGAACTGGGGAGCCCAGAACAGACCCCGGTATTCCAGATTTGGCCTCACCAGGGCAGAGTAGAGGGGCAGGATAAACCTCCCTTGACCTACTGGCCACACTCTTAATACACCCCAGGACAGCATTGACCTTCTTGGCTGCAAGGGCACATTGCTCATGGTCAGCCTGCTATCCACCAGGACTCCCAGATCCTTTTCCCCTGGGGTGCTCTCCAGCAGGTCAGCCCCCATCCTGCACTGATATATGGGGTTGCTCTACCCCAGAGGCAGTACCCTACACTTGTCCTTGTTGAATTTCATTGTTTCTCCCTGTCCAGGTCACGCTGAATGGCAGCACAGCCTTCTGGTGTGTCAGCCACTCCTTCTAGCTTTGTATCATCATTAAACTTGCTGAATGTACACTCTGTCCTATCGTCCAGGTTGTTGCTGAAAACACTGAAGAGGTCTGGGCCCAGTACCAACCCCTGGGGAACACCACTAGACATGGTCTCCAACTAGATTCTGCCCCACTGACCACAACTCCCTGAGTTCTGCCCTTCAGCCAGTTCCCAATCCACCTCACTAACTGATCATCCAACCCACACTTCTCAAGTTTGGCTGTGAGGATGTTATGGGAGATGGTGTTGAAAGCCTTGCTGAAGTCAAGGTAGATCACATCCACTGCCCTCCCCGCGTCCATCCATCCAGTTGTGCCATCATAAAAGGCACATTGGTTAAGCACGACTTCCCCCGGTGAATCCATGTTGACTACTCTTGATAACCCTCTTTTCCTTGACATACTTTGAGAAGACGCCAAGAACTAGCTGTTCCACTACCTTTCTAGAGATGGAGATGAGGCTGATGGGTCTTTTTTACCCGTGTCCTCCTCCTTGCTCTTTTTGAAGATTGGAGTGACATTGACTTTCCTCCAGTCCTCAGACACCTCTCCTGTTCATTCATTTTGTTTCATTCAAACCAGTTAGACTATATTTAAGTTAGTTAATTTTAGTTTTGCTAGAATTACTGTTGTTCTTTTTTCTTGTGAATGTCATCTTTGCTATTTAGTTAGTTAAAATTGAAGGAATTTTACTCATCTGTCCCTGCACTTATATGATGGCTTTTTGTATTTTTACTGTGATTTTTAAAAAACATTTTTAATCTCTGTCAATTGCATTATTTTTCCATTTATTTTTTTTCTTTTGCATCTTTGTTTTCTTTTAATGAGGATGGTTGTTTACATCCTTACTAGAACTATGACTTAAGTTTAGGGACAGAACCTGTTTTAAATTACACTTACAAAACAACTAATATTCAAATTTATAACAACATACAATGTAGAAATCTTACTACTTGTGATTTCCACTCCAGAAAGAACTTTCATTTTCAGATAATGAATTGAAACAGTATTTTTTTCCCAAGAAAGTGTGCATTTTTCTCCTAGGAATGTCTGGGAAGTAATAGCTGTAACTCTGCTGTTTTGAATGGGCAGAGTAGAAGACTGGGGCATCACCTCAGTCTCAAAAGCACTCTCTGTTTCTTAAGTTTTCCAAAGTTCTGTTATCTTCAGAGCTTGATTCCTTCAGATTAAAGTTGAAGATATTATATTTAACTTCAGTAATAATGGAAAAACAATCCAGTGGTAAGAACTACCAGCCAGTAGATTTGGGATGTTAATTGAATAGTGTTTTCTAGAGCCTCTCACCATCAGAATCTCTCAGTTCATTAAAGGAACTGCAATTATACCTGTCACACTGGTGAACAAGCAGACACGTGCGAGCTCTGGAAGGTGTTTGTGGTGCGTCGGGAGCTGTGTGTTACCCCTCCTGTGACAGCGGCTGCGTGCTGCTGCAGGCATTAGAGCTGGGCTAGGTGGGAGTCTGCCTTAATGAGACCTGGCGCTAAGTTTAGCACTGGCAGTGATGTTGGTTTTGCTTTCGTTTGGGGTCTTTTGAGACTACATTCTGAATGCATTTTCTGTCTGTTTCCTTCTCACAAGGGAACTTGATGAAATCTTACATTTGTTCCTAAGGCAGGACAGTTGTTCCACATAACAATTTCCGTGTGTTATGACAACAGCATACAGGTTTGGATTTTGCACATCCTGTTTTTTCAGAAGCAGTCTCAATGTATTATCTCCTCTCTTGTCCTCATTTTTTTAGTGCTTTCTGCTGATTGTGCAGGAGGGGTTCCCAGGTTTGTTAAATATATATTATCTGTTTCTTTTATGCGAATAAGTCCTGATCTTTTTTGTTGATTTAGTCACACTATATTCTTTCTAGCCTTTCAGGTAATCCCTCTTATACAATTTTTTTCAAGAAATCATTTTCTTAGATCCTAACCATGCCAAATTTCTTACCTCACTCTTTTCCTACCCATGGAACTGTGAACACACTTTTCATAGATTGTACTGTCCAGGGGTAGTGGTGTGCCAGAATGTGCTAAAATCTATTTTCATCATATTTTTAGTCCTATGTATTAGTCTTTTGGATTTTCATTCTATTAACTGTTGTTGGTAACAAAGGTGGCTGAAGGTAAATCTCAAGGAGTTTTGCTCCCATATATCTTAATTTTCCCCAAATTATCAGAGTTTTCATGGGAACATTGGAAAGATGAATGGACTTAGTCAAAGCAAAGCCAAGAACACCTCAGAAATTTAAACTTTTTCTATAATCAAAGTTAGCTTAGATTATAAGAACTTGTGAGTCTTTCTATTTTCAAGTCTCTTTCAACTTACATTCATTCTTGCATAGGTATACATGGGCATGCGTCATGCATATTGCAAAATACTATTTTTAATTTCCTGGAGGCAATATATTTTTTCTTCCAAAATTACAGTTTTGTTAAAGTCTAATAAGGCCTTTTATTAGCATATTGCTGCTTTTGGTGTGTTATTAGTAGACTGTCATTAGTAATTGCTGTGGTAGTGATCCTTAGATTAGGTGGTTGTACGTTCATTTCAGAAAATTATGAATATAATGAAGGTACTACTAGATGAGACAGTTGCAATTCAACATTTAAATTAAGTTACTACATTGTCTTTAAAAGTGTGCCACCTGTGTGACGTTGATTAGAGTGAATTGGAGCTATTTACTGAATTTTCTTCTGATAGCATTCCTGAAGGAATCAGGACATTTTTCTTAAATGAAGAAAAAGACACATTACTTGTTGAATGTCTTACAGATCAAAAGTACACCCAGTCTTCAAGAGCTCATCACTGGGGCCCAAGATGACAGTGAAATTCTGACCAAAAGGAATTGCAAGGAGGAGGAAGACATAACAACCAGTCCCACAAGTGATACAGTTTTCTGTGATGGTAGAAAACACGTAAGTTAAAGGGTGAAGCACAACAGAACAGATGCCTCTTGGGAACAAATATAAAAGCTAAGATCTTGTGCAAAATGTTGGTGTATTTTAGATTATACTTCAAAAGGAAAGAAGAATTTTACTTCAGTTTGTATCTGATGAAGACTGGCTGCCTTTGGCACTGTCCTCGCAGTACCACTGAACTTTTTGCAGCATAAGCCAAATCAAATTAATAGTTGATCTATCCATTGATAGATGGATATATCCATTGGTAATGAATAATTGATAGGTCAGCTCCCTCTGAATTTTGCAAATGCAACTAATATTCTTCCCATTTTATATTAGGTTTGGGATCACGAACATGATTCTTTCTAACCTAGTAGCTAGCTTTTTCTCTTAAAGCTTCATTTAACAGAAGGGCTTTGTTATTCTGCAAGAGCTGTGGTAAAGGAAAAGTCAGTGGAAATTCAAATGTCAGAATGCCAGTGAATGAAGAGGAAGCTGACAGTGTTGGAAACCAGGGGAACAGTGCACAGGTTTAGGGGATGGCATTGAAACATCCTCTGATGGATGGCATTTTGAATACTGCAAATGAGAGAGAAGGAAGCAAGTTATAAATTAATTCAGCACATGCTTTAAAGCCTGTATCATTAACTGTGGAAGCTAATTTAGTGATGAGGTTGAGCAGGGTGAAGTATCCAAGAATCCATGACTGATGTTGTGAAGAAGAGAACGAAAATGACTTTTAGGGAATCAAAATTAAAGCAGCCTGCTCACTTTGCAGAGGAGTATAAACACACACAAGAACGTTGGCGCTTTCTCATAGTTTACTGCCCTGTGAAGTCTGAGGTGATAAACTGACAAATGGGTAACAGTTTTGGACAACATTTGTGGCTCTAATAACAACCATTTGAACTGGTCTATAGGCAGCCCAGGCTTAAAACTGAAATATTTTCTACTATCTTATGAAGGGGAAGGTTAAGTTCTATTAAACTTCCCTTTATGGGTAAGTGTTGGATGTTGATGACAACTCTGAAAATGTGTATTCCAAAATATCAGATGGCATTGCTTCCAGGCATGCTAGCAGGAGTGCAATACATGGATTCATTGCTAAATCCCTGTACACTGAACCAAAAGGATGAGTGATTTCTACATTGAATGTATGTGACTCCTCATCAGGTGGGAGACGTATGTAGCGATATTCAGTTCAAACCTATTCAGCCTCTCTAAATAAATAAGAGGTCCTGTGGAATAAATACTAGGGACTTCTGCAGAACTTTTAATAGGACACATGAGCTAAGAGAAAAATCTGTTTGCATTCCTTTATCATGAAGGATTTTGGTGCAAAATAAGCATTTGTCTGGTCAAATGAATAAAAATATGTTAGTGAATGAAAGAGCAGAGCTAAACAAAGCTGCAAGAGAGATTATTTACACTAATACACATCTTGTGGAGGGAGCAAGATCACATGCAACAAGCATCGGGTCGAAACAGTCCTAACACTTCTTGTTGCTTCCTTGGTAAGCAATCTGACCCTTCTTTTGTCAAGTTTATATGTTACTTAAAGCTTATAAGAAAGAATAGATAGCTTCTCTAATCTAAGTTGTTGGTGTGAATTTTAAAATTAGTATTTGGCAAGATGCACAAATGAAGGAGAGCATCTGCATGGAAGAGAGATACAGTCTTATAAATGCTGCTCTGCAGTCTTGGCTGCTGGGTTGTGCAATGCAGAACTCCTTGGTTAACCAGTCCTGTGTGGGTTGATGTTTATTGTCAGAGGGAGGAGTGATCTGACACAGATATCTTGGTGACCTAGGGCAATGTTGCTGTGAAATTAATCACAACAACAATCGTGTCTTCATGGCATGAGCTATGTAAAAAGTTTCTAGAGCTCAACTTAAAGAATATAATTATGAATGAATGGAGATTGAAACTATTTTGTTTGAATTGATAAGTTGTTACAGTGAAGGCTCAATAGCACCATGAAGTTACATGTCTGTGCTGGGCCACCGAAAGAATCATAGTCTCTTCCTTCATTGCAGTTTCCTGGCCTTTGTAAATGTTAGACACAAATGCTGATTAATGTGTGGATGGACACCATCCAAATCTTTGCCCCATAGGTGAAAACAGATAAAAGGAGAACAAAGTGGCTGATGTGAGCTCGGAAACACTTTTTCTTTAGGTACCAACATACGACAACTGGATGTCTTTGTATTTTAATCTTTCCTGAGTGGTTTGCTGCAGTATGGAGTATGTAATTTTTATGTGGAAGTGGGGCATCTTGTAGAATATTTACTGGATGTGCAAGGCCACTTTTGTTTCCTTTAAGACATTATAGAACGTAACATTTTGGCAGAGTACCCTGCTATTAGCTATGTATTAAAAGCAGTCACATTCAATGTTTTGTATGTTCTTAGACTTCAGAGTTTTTTTCACTCTCTTCCTTTCATGTCCGATTTTTCTCATGGGAAGCCATATAGCAGTTTTGTTTGCAGACAATTTCTAGATCTAGAAATTACCTAAAAACACATTTTCTTAGCCTAGAGAGCTTACTGAAGAGACAAAGGCAAAGCAGTTAAATTGCAATTACAGTCATAATTTTCAGGGCTGTTATGGAAGCAACACAATGATTTATACAGGTTACCTTAAATCTTTGTGATCCCCAGTAACTCTACAGTCATGTCTGTAAAGATACTTACTTTTGAGGGAAATAAATGGTTTATTCTGTTTGATCTGAAGCTACTTTTCCCAAACATTTTTCTTTTCTCAGGGGAGTTTGTATAGTCTTAGCAGCACTTGCACCGAGTCTGGCAATTTTGGCAAGGCTTCCATCACTGGAGAAATAGAGTTTGCAATAAGATACATCTTCAAAGCTTGCATCTTAGAAATTTGCATCAGGGGATGCAAGAACCTGGCTTATGGAGATGAGAAGAAGAAAAAGTATAATCCGTAAGTATTTTGTAGAGAAGGAAAAAAAAAGGTAAGGAAAATGTTCTGGTTTTAAAATACTTACGTAAGTTGTGATTGAAATTGAGTGATACATGATAGTGTGCCATATTAGCACTTTTGGAACAGCCAACATGTGTATCAGCCCTTGTTACATATACACAGTGCAAATCAGATGAGTTTCATACCAGTACTTATTCCATTCTGACCCTTTTCTGCTAGTAATTGTCTTTCCCTGGCTGTGAGAAGGCAGTCGGGTATCTGTGTTGCTGATGATCTTGAGATCTGCTGTTCAGATTTTAGCTCTTAGGTTGTGCCCACAAAATTAATATTTACGTGGCTAAAACATGAGATGTCATGTTCCTAATTCATCTGCTGTCTCAGTGTGTGTCACTGGGTGCTTGCTATACTACTTCTGTAGTAATATACTGCTTCCATCTTCTGTAATAGGAATAGAAATTTCAGATACTGCAACACATTTTTAAGTCTAAAGCTGTTTAATAATTATATATTACTGTAAGAGGAAGAAATACCTACTACTGTGGATAAAATATACCATCAACATTTTTGGTTGGATAGTTAAGCCTTGACGGTTTGTCTATTTATTACTAAATGATCCTTTCTGACCATGCAGCAACCATTCATAGAAAATCACCAGGTAGTCTACCCAACTATCTGCTCTTGCCCCTGCTGCCACACCATGTTTGGGCTCTTGAGTGACCACATTGGAATGGTAGATTTGCAGTTCCCTTTGCCCAGAAGGAACAAGGCCTTTGTGCATCTTGCAGAGGACGTTCATAAAGACAACAAGCTTGGTGATGAAAGGAGCCTTGCTGGAACAGCAGCTCATCAACAGGGCAGTTTGGGAGCACTTCAGAAGTGGGTCAAGGTTCTTTAAGTCCCCTGGTATTTAAGCCAGGCAACCGGTTGCACGGAGCCTGAAAGGCAATGTGAGAAGTTTTGTGTAAGGAACATTATGTTCTCTATTGGTATATATTTATACATTTCTGCTGGTTTCCACGCCAACAGGAAAAAGTACAGTCAGTGTACTCAACAGACTTGACGAAAAGCAAACTTTTAACTGATGTTTAAAACCTGTTGAATTATTTAGCTTGTTGACTGGTTTGAAGTCTGACTGGCTGTTTTTTCATTAAATTGTTCTGAGGTGGTGGAGCAAGAGGCTGAAACTTCTGGTACATGAGTATTTTAAAAAGTAGTTTTTACCTACTGTTAAGTTTGGAAAGAATAGTGAATATGTGTAAGTTCTGGACTGGCGATATGAGATACAATTTTATTTACCCTGTAAGTTAATTGAGGCTGTTTTAAAATTGGTTTAAATCCTAATACCTGAAATAATACAAGTACAGTTTAAAAACACATAGTATTATGTTAACAACCACTCCATTGTCTGCCAGGCTGTGAGCCGGCTGTCTCTATTGCTTCTGCTCTTTTGAAGCCATAAAACAAATACATAAAACAAACACTGAACTCATATTAATGAGAATATTTGGGTATTAATGTTCACATGACCTACATATGGGAAACTTTGGGTAGGAATCATTGGTGGTTAATATTGGTCCAATTCAACTCCCAGAATTTTTTTTTACTGGTTTTCCTTGAATCAACATCAAGGCAATTTTGAGCACTTTAGACAATCTCCCATTTTCACTCTAGTGGCTATTATAACAATTAGAATTTGTAAGATTTATGAATTATTATGTATTATTTGTGTGATAATACCTTTTTTTTTTTTTTTTGCTATATGGTACTTAGTGTTGTAAAGATGAGATATTTTCTTCAGGAACAAGCAGCAATGATCCTAAAGTTGATTGAGGTGATATTTTTTTTT